ATAAATATATAAATCAATGTCACACAGGACAGTCTTTTGCTTCCATTTTTTCACGAGAATTTCGGGCTGTGTCAGTTTTCTTCTTCAAAAGTTTATATATATGTATATATATATATATATATATATATATATATATATATATATATATATATATATATATATATATATATAAACTTGATAGTGGATAAACCTTAAATCATCGTATGTTGGCTATTCTGCATTGCAAAACAACATCAATGATGGTGAATGTTTATCGTCCTACGTGTTGAGATATCTATTTTTAAATGATATAAATCAACAGATGGGTTAAAAATGAATGAATGAATGAATGAATGAATGAATGAATGAATGAATGAATGAATGAATGAATGACTGAATGGACTGGAAAATTATTATATAATATAATTTAGGAGGTATCTGAGCTTGTTCACTTGGTTAGTGGTCTTACAGGTGGTTATGGCCACTAAAATCTCAATGTAGTTCTGTTTGCCTGTCTGACCTCCCATCTCTCTCTCTATTTTTTTCTCTCTCTCTTTCTGCTGGAACAGGGAGATGTAATCTGAGCGAGTGAGTAGTTGGTGAGCGTGTTAATAGTGTTAGGCTGTAGGCAGGGTGCCGTTCTGGTCCGGCTCGGCTGCACATGCATTTGATGGATCACTCTTCTGTCAGATCAATTTTAGAAATGCATTGGAACCAGAAAGACAAAGAGAGAAAGAGTGAGCTAGAGAGATAGAGAGGGAAGGTCAGGGGCGGAATATAGTGGGTACGGAAAGTCACCGAGCGATATAAAAGGTTGGACATATGAAAGGCGCTGGGAGTGAGAGATACAAAGATGATACCGCCACAGGAGGATGGCAGAAACAAAGTGAGAAATAACAATGGGGTAAAATGGTATCGCTGCAAAAATGCGTGGGAGACTGAAAGGTAAAAGAAAAAAAAAATGTAAGTGAATAGTATTCGATATTTCCCTCTCCATCGCCCTCGATATTTATAGCTGATAAGGACTTGAGGCTAGAGAAAAAAAGAATGATCTCTTTGAACCATGTGTTGAAACTGGTGGAAACTGACTATTAACTACACTCCTCCACACAGACTAAAATCCACTTTCTTCGATTTGAATGCCACAAATATGTAGAAAATATACACAAAGTCGTTCTTCACCACAATTGGAGCAGCAAAAGGTCATGTCTGCCAATGTATAAGAGAGAGGGCAATTGCTCAGGCAGGTTTAGATGTTTATCACAACTGAAGAGTTTGAAGAGGCGCTTTAGATGCAGTTGAGGGACACTCGAGGGCTTCACGATTTATTAAAGTAAAACGGTAATTGCGATAGGACTAGTGACTTTTTTTTTTAAGTCAGAAAGACTTGATTTAATTAAATAAATAAATGCACTGTTTTGGAGTTAAAGGGATACTCCACTTTTTTTTTTTTTTTTTTTTTGGAAGTAGGCTCATTTTACAACTCCCCCAGAGTTAAACAGTTGAGTTTTACCGTTTTCGAATCCATTCAGCCGATTTTCTTATTTTTAGAAGAATATCAGTAACCAGACAGTTTCTGGTCTCATTGACTTCCATAGTATATTTTTTTCCTACTAAGGAAGTCAATGAGACCAGAAACTGTCTGGTTACTTAAGGAGGCAGGTGTTTAAGTAAAACACTTAAATCCTTATTTCTCCCATCTCAGGGGAAAATAAGGGAATAAACCATGACCATTCAGAAATATGACTTGGTTTCTAAAGATACAAAGCTTAATGCAAATGGGTGAAGTGTCCCTTTAAGCGTGGCATTTTGATCTGTTAAGCAGTTCACTCAACTTCTTAAGTGTTTCTTTGCAGCTTGAGTTACTTCGGCTGGTTTTCGAGGGGTTTTGAGTAGTAATTATAGTGTAGCAGGTCAGACTTGGAGATCAGCTATCTAACACCAGCAAAGTGGGGAGATCAGTTAGACCAACTTAAGAACACCAACAAATAGGGCAGGCTGGAAGTTCAAATGCGTGTTTTATTTTGTTTTTGTTTTCAGCAGAAAAAGTGCTACCAAATTTCAACGTCTCAAGTCTTCTATTTGTTGGATCAAAGCTTGTAACGTCCCCAAACTTCACACATTGGTAGAGCCAAATGAGTTGGACATGTTTGAAAAAACAAAACAATGTTTTGAAAGAGTAACAGTGTTTTTATTCTTCTGGAAGTCAACCTTCGAATGGTCTACTCTGCGCACAGTATTTGTCTCTGCACAATTGAGATAGAATAAATTTTAACATTTCTAAAGAACTATAAAATCAAAAGTCCTTTGTTGAATTTGGAGAAAAGGGGTTCTTTTTAGACATTGGCCTGCAAAACCCTTTTTTACTTTAATTGGAACATTTTATTTGTATGTGTGAATGGTGTGGAGGAGATTTGAGAGTTGTTGAAGAGTGTGAAGACGAAGCAGGAGAGTTGGCTATAGGGAGTTTTGAGGTTATTGAGAGTTTGGGGATGTTTCTAAAAGGATGTACTTGAGATCTTTAGTTGAGCCAAAGCATGCTGAGAGACTGAATTAAAAAGCAAAATTAAGATGTGATTGACAAATGGAGCTTGTGGAAGAAGTTAAAATTGTGTCCACTTTATTTCTTATTCACCTTCCAGTATGGCTATACAACAGCTTTTTTGTCTGAGCTGCCTTGTTTTCTACTGTCTAGTATAGGCAGCCATTTTCTAAGGTAGCATCGTAATCATGGTAGAGCCTTATAAGTTAACAATTTATATGTACAACACACCACATATTCAGCAACTGCACACCCCACACACTCAGCAGCTAGATTTCGAACGAGTTTTCCTTTAGATTGTTGGCATCGGTAAGATTTTTAAATGTGTTCGAAGTAGTCTCTTGTATGAAAGTATGAAAAGTAGTCTCTTGTTTGAAATGTATGGAAGCTTGTTTCTGCCATGGACTAAAACAATTTAAAAGATAATTGTGACTTTTTTTTCTCCTCACAAATCAGATTTTTTTTTTTCAATTTGAATTTGAATTTGACAAAGCTGACTTTTCAGCATCAATTATTCCAGTCTTCAATGTCACATGATCCTTTAGAAATCGTGGAGTGCTGATCTGGTGCTCAAATAACATTTCTTATTATCAATGTTAAACACAGATATGATTCATATTTGTGTCGAAACTGTGATTATATGTTTTGCATGATTTTTTTGTTATAAATTGTAACTGATTTCTCCCTATTTTATTCATTAATTTAAGACTTTTATTTTACCTTTTATTAGACTTTATTTCGATGATCCACTTTTGACATTGTACTAACCATCAGTAACTTTGCAACTATATGTCAACTAACTAATTAGTTTGTATGTCAACTAATATGTCAACAAACTGAGTTAGTAGAATAAGTTGACATGTTGCAAAGTTACTTATAGTTTAGAATGTATGTTGGGGAGCATTAAAATAAAGTGTTAGCATATACTAAGCAGACAGTCAACTATTACTCTATGACAGCTTGTTGACACACTGTATATTTGCAAAATTACACACTCCAACAATGCTATGCAATGATATATATATGATTTTACAGTCCATTGTCATTTTAAAAATAAAAACCTTATATATATATATATATATACACCTTTTCCAATCCTGACCAAAACAAATCATTGTTAAATCATAAGTTTGCACTACAAATAGGCTATGCGTTATCCATCAGTTTGATTGAATGAGCTATACAATTTCCTTCATCTTCTTATGTTCAGACTTCAAGAGAATAACATAACACTTGTATTTTGTGATGTGGTATGATAATAATAACTGTGGCAAGAGCTCTTTTCAGTCGCTGCATTCCTTTCCTCCTGATTATTATTTGTATTCCTTTGAATTCCACTATAACTGAATAAAAAGGATAAAGGATACTGCACATTTGTCCCAATTTAATTTATGATACATAGCATTAATTATTCACTGGAATGCACTAAGAGTCTCTTACTTTTCTCCCAGAATCCTCGCATCTCCTTCATGTTTGTTTTCACACTGATGCTTAAAAATGTAATTGTCTCCTGTTTGCACTTCTAACACTCATAAGCAATGTTTATTTATTTATTTAAACATGTTTTGTCTTACACAATGACGGAAATCACTTTGAACTATAATCACTCAATGTTCCAGTTAATTAATGTTTTTATTCAGGTTACATCAAAAGCAGCTTTACCTTGTGCCATCTAGTCTGTCAGATAAGTTTCAGCCTATCAAACTTGTAGCGTGACCACAGATGCAACGCTAACGCAATAGATCAATGGCGCTACTATTGTAATCAGTAGAGAACATGGCAACTTTGTTATATATGGCAGCGGTGTGGTGTTGTGTTTCATACCTGATTAGAGAAGGGTATACTCTAGCTGCAGCCCTGGAGGTCTCCAAATGGGGGTGGGAACTCCAAAATGGGACGGCATGGCTTCCTCCCATTGATGTCTGCTCTAATATGCAATAATAATGCTTTTAATATAATTTGGCATTGTGTTTTATTCATTTTAGATACACATTGTTTACTTTATTATTCCCCAAGTTCACCGGCCACTATCATTTATGCGAGTTCTAGAGAAATGGATGAATTTACGTTACGTAAAACCGACAGGTCCGATTCTCTGAATACCCCAGTTTGTGTCCAAGCACGGGGTCTGAGTTAGTAGAGTGTCTAAAGTGGACCATTGAAATAAAGTGTTATTAAATATTATTTTGTTTCCATTATCTTTCATCTTTGTTTGTATTTTAACATTATTTTTTTTCTATGTTGTTTTACTGTCAGTTAGTTAGAACAGTACTTAATTAATAATGCATTGGACATTATTGACATGATTCTCTTACACAAAAAGGAGATAAACAGCCCAAAAAATAATTGGATCAAAGAAAAGGTCAATGAAACATCTTGAAAGTTTTTATATATTTGTTTTTTTCCTGTGAGCCACCACAAAGAATATTAAGATATTTAAGAAAACTGAAACAAATCTCTTTCTGTTCTTTCTCACTAGATGACCCAGGAGCAGTACATCCTGGCATCTCAGCCGAACCCCCTCCAAAGGCCGGGATGTGCTACTGTGTACCCTGTGGGGATTTATGGCTGGCGAAAGCGCTGTCTCTATTTCTTCATCCTCCTTCTCCTCGTCACCATGATCGTCAACCTAGCTTTGACCATCTGGATTTTAAAAGTCATGAACTTCACCGTGGTGAGCAATTCTTTCTTTTATTGTGATCCTCTTTCTCATTATGTTTTTATTCGTTTAACGCTGATGCAAGGAACACTATTACTATTGCTTTTAATATGAACAACCCCAGTAAGTATTAAACAATGGTGCGTAACTCATCCTGTGTTTCAGAAATGAATTATTCCACAAATTAGGCTGCTTGCTATTACTCCATTAGCCCTGCATTTAAGGAATGTAAGCCTTATCTATGTCCCTGAATATCATTAAGACTTTGGGGTGGGCTGTTTTGACAATTTTACACCTAGAACACCCATATAGGCACTTTTTTTTGTGGTTCATAGGGTACTGGTTGTATGCAAGTTATGAATGTTAGTTAATGGACAATAGTTAATGCATTGGCTTATAATGAGCAATGTTGAAAATTCTTGAGAAAATTAAATCAAGTTGTATCTGATTCTCAGCAACTTGGTGTACATTTGTGATCCATGCTGACAAAATGAGTCACAATGCGTTATTGTTATTTTTATATTTACATTATATATTCACATTCGATATTATCTTCAAAATTATGCATGATTTGTTGGATTCAGATAAAAAAAAAATTGCTGGGCTTGAAGTTGACAGCCTTTTTTAAGACCTACTGTAATGCACGGATCTAAGATAATCAGCTGTTTTTCCCCAACAGTTAGCCAAAGGTTAATTTAAGACATAACTGATAACTTTTGTGTGAATACCATAGACTATAAAACAAATATGGACGTAGTGTCTGTGACGTCACCCGTAGGTTTCTGTAGAGCGTTTTTGAAGCCTAAAGTGGACTGAGCCAGCCGTCGCCATCTTGGCAGCATGTCACCTCTCGTCACTACCCGATATAAAATGGGCAAAGAGGCGGGACGTGGGTGGAGCTGAGGTGCTAATGCTATATGCTACTGGCCTCGCACTAAAGTGACAGCCAGTGGTGGAGGAAGTACTGCATCTCAGTACTTAAGTAAAAGTACAAATACCCAGATAAATATTTACTTTAGTAAAAGTAGAAGTAACACAATGACAACCATACTTAAGTAAAAAGTAAAAAGTACTTTATTTTAAATGTACTTTAAGTATTAAAAGTAAACGTACTTGCATAACAATTTATTATCTTAATGTCTATTTTCTAATGATTAATAAAACATTTAATTCTAACTCATTCAACCTAATACTCCTATAATGATGTTCAATAATGATGGAAAAAAATGTCACCATTTCTGAAACAAGCTTGCAATTAGGCAATATCATGCTTATCCTTACTATATGTTAATAACTATGTTTGGCAGTAAACGCGATTCATTTATGGTGTAATTCTGAACCTCTTGGCTTGCCATAATCCTAACCAAACCAAACATATATTACACACGGTGTGTTTCCTATGCACGTAAAAACAAATTTTCGCGTATGAGTTGCATGATAAACACACTGCGTGTTAGACGCATTTAGTGTGACCGGGTTGATATACTGTATCTATGGCAACCAAACGTCACTGGTGAGACAAACGTGCAACGAACGGACGGTCAGATTACGTTTTGGCAGGGGAAAAACTGATCAGAAAATGTAACGAAAATGTAACAGAAGTTGTAGAAATGTAGTGGAGTAGAAAGTATAATAATTGCTGCAAAATGTAACGAAGTAAAAGTAAAAAGTAGGCACTATTTATTGTACTTAAGTAAAGTAAAGATACGTGAAAAATGTACTTAAGTAAAGTAACGAAGTATTTGTACTTCGTTACATTCCACCACTGGTGACAGCTGATTGAAGAAGTAAAGCCAATAGTTAAAATTCATGTTTTTGCCCTTCGAAATATTATAATAGTTAACCCATGCCATCAAGAATGTTTTATAAATGTGCACAAAGTTTGAATACTGGGCTTTACAATGATACCAAACTTTTGCTGAGGGGGAAGTACCCGTCGTCGAGAAACAAACAGAGAAATAGCATTTTGTCATTGATTATTACAAACAAAGGAAAGATTTGGCACACCTCTCAGAAAATGTATTTAATTACTATTTGGAGCATTGGGATCACTAGACATGGGCTTGATGGAGAAATTTTTGTGAAAACCTCAAATTTGACCAAATTGACATTGTATCTTGTGCACATTCTGACTCATATTGCCAGCACTGGTCACATTTGTTATATTCACTCATTGGCTCAAATTATCTTTCTCTTTCTTTCGTGTGAATGGCCTTACTCAGATGGTCAGGTGTACTAGCTTGCAAGCATGAGGTCACAACACTTTATTTGCCCAACTGATTAGTCATTGTTTAACAGCATCTGGCATACATGCTGTCTGTTCAGAATTACAAACCATGGCTGCCTGGATCAGCGGAGTTGTGAACCTACTCAAAAATGAACACTCTGTGGTTTGTCTGCCGAGACAGCAAGAAGAATGAGAGGATTTTGTGGGCTTGAACAAGTGTGTGTGTGTGAGAGAGAGAGATTTAGGGAGAGACTGTGTAAGAACTGGGAAATACAATAGAACTAAAATACCTCTTTGTATAGTTAGTATGTGTTCGAGTCGCTGCTATTATAACATGCGGGCTTGTGAAACCTCTTTTTTTAGCGTATGTACTCATGTGTGGTTGCAGGCCCTATTGTGTAGTAGTGTTGGGGGAGATGCTCTTTAGTCATAGTCTTAGCATTAGTTTACTTATGGCGCTTTTCCACTGCATGGTACGGTACGGTTCGGATAGGTACGGCACGCTTTGGCGCTTTTCCACTGCATGGTATGGTACGGCTCGACTCAGTACGGCTCACTTGTGGCGCTTTTCCACTGCATGGTATGGTACGGCTCGACTCGGTATGACTCACTTGTGGTGCTTTTCCATTATGGTATGGTACGGTACGGTCGTTTCGGCTCGCTTTGAATCATACCTGGTCTGTTGAGGTTCCAAGAATACCGTAACGGTACTAAAATGTGACGTGAAACACTGCAGATCACTACCAGCGTCATTGTATTTGCGACCAATAGACATCTAAACGAGAAACCAAACCCGCTAGATTTGAATAGCCAGTAACAGCCACCGCTTTTATCGAACTTATTGTCTTAAAATCCCAACCACTTTAAAGCGGTACTAACTGCAGTGGAAAAGCAACCAAGCTAAGGCGAACCAAGCCGAGCCGTGTCGAGCCGTGGAAAAGCGAAGCGAGTCGAACCGTGCCACGCCAAGCCAAACCGTACTGAGCCGTACCAGCAGTGGAAAAGCACCATTTATTGATACTTGCATTTTTAATTTACTTATTTATTTACTCATTTATTTAATTTGTTTTTAGTTTTATTATTGTGGGAAATTAAAGTCATTTCTATCATTTTGCGAGCAAAGATGGAGTTGGTGATAAAGAAAGATGTCACTTCACATAGGAATATTTCACCCATAAGTTTGTCGATATCACACATGAAATTTGCAAACTTTACGAGAGTTATGCTGGTGAAGGAATCTCAAATCACAGTCCATTATTCACTTCAGAAAATGGAAGCAAAAACTGACCGTGCTTTTGGAATCTATCACTGAATTAACGACACATCCCAGAGGAAATATTTGGTTGCTCAGTTGTTGAGTTTTGGATGTTAACTAACATTGCTTAGGAGATATAAGACGAGACATAAATGAGACATGACAAATATAGGAGAGAAAAGGAGTTAAAGATGAGAATGTGGTGGGAATAATATATATTCATTGTCTGGCTGAAATCTCTTTCAAGACTCCATTATAGGAATGTTTTATTGTTCAAGGTTGCTCTTTTTAAGCTCAAGAGACTTAGCTGTGATTCTCATTTATCAAAATCAAAATGTAGTAGATGAACAACGATGCTTTTTTTTTGTCTTGGCTCAAACAACAACTTCATAAGAATGATGCGTGTAACAAGTATTTAATTTATAACGACGTGTGTGGGATGTAGGTTTGTAGCCTGTTTTAAACACCTTTTTAATTTAGGAGTCCTCAATCCTCATTTGCACGTTTATGTGCCACAATGTGGAGATGTCGCTATTAAATTACAGAAGGGCAAATTAATTGTATAATAATTATTATTATATTAATTATCATCATCATCATCATTATCTTCATATTGTCAAAGACATCAGCAATCAGTGATCTCTGACTATCATTGATACACAATCGGCACAACCATACTGTGCAGCTGATATCTTTGCTGTGTGACTGCCAAGGGGACTGTGCCATGCACAGACTTATTACTGACTTCATCTTGGCAAACCTCGAGTTGTTTGACCTGTAAAGTGGAAAAACTCTTAGGTGGGCCTTTCTCCAACTACAATGGGAGATAGCACTTCATGAGCCAACAGAGTTGGACCTAATGACAAAAATAGGCATATATTCATAGTACACATATATTCTCCCATTAATCCTTGTTATCATGACTGCATAGAACTCTAGAAATTCAAAGCTGGATCAGTGACATACTGCCAGCTTCACTCATTCCTCCCACTCGTTTACTGTCTCCTGAGTTCTAATCAACATCACCTGCAACTCATCAGTTCATCTCCCTTTTCGACACCCCTTCAAACACTCATTAACTGCGTTTAGATGGACCCTTATAATTGGATTGACGGCTCAATCGGATTAAAAAACCTTCATGTAAACACCTAAATCGATCCGATTGAGCTCGATCTGACTGTAATTTTGATCAGATTGAAAGGGGTGGTTTACTCCTTTTGTAATCCTATCGCGAGAACATGTGAACACTTCTTATATAGTTTCCTGGTTCATGAAGTGACCCACCTCTAACATCCCGTCACGCCATTGGACTGATTTTACATGTGCTTCAATACATCATCACGCAAAGCGTTCCCTTAGCGTCAATTGACGCAACGCGAGTTCCCTCGAAAGGAAAGTAAGATTTAACCCGAACGTTTAAATAACAAAAGTTATAATCATTGTAGATGATTCCCTAAGCCTTTAATTATTTATTAAGTTACATGTTCAAATATACAGACAGTACAATGGATCAACACACTGTATAGAAAACTT